TCCCGCAACGATCACTGCGCCGTTTACACTGAGGCTGGTGATGCATTTGTCAAATGAGGCGAGAACAGAGTTTGCACTGTATGAACTCATTGCAATGGTGGCGTTGAAAGAATCTACTTCCATCACCAAACCCGTTGGCAAGATGTGGTATTGTCATCACTAGTATTCACTAGTCATCTATTACCAATGTTATTAGATTCTTGTCTGCATTTTGCTGTTCGATCAGGGCGGTGCACCAGACAGTTTAGGCACCGCACTGCATGCAGCCTTGGCCTGAATGCAGAGACAAAGACAAGTGACCGAGCGCATGCAAGATATGCCCGGGGCTATATGGGGCCACTGTAAGTCACTAAGATTCACGAAGTACGGTGGTGATCTGCAAAGATCTACGAAGTCCTTACGCTTTGCAGAATGCCGATTCGGAATTTGGAACAGGTCAGGTCATGTCAGGGTGCTTCGCCAAACTGAGGCTGTGCTGCGCGGTGACACTGAGCTTGTCCGTTTGTTGTGCAGCCGGAGCGAGTGAACGGCTCAGAGCCAGGAAACCAATTTCCAAATCATTCCAAGGGTTGCAAAAGGGTTGCAAAGCAAATTTGGATACCAACGAATTGCACCCGTTCATTGTTTGTTCATGCAGTGGCTCTTCAGTAGCTGAAATTGTTGCGAACGAACTGAGAGCGTGCCTCTGACATCCTTTGACATTCTTCGACTGACTTTGACTGCTCGGCCAGGTGCGATCCGAGCACTACCTGGAGTGACTTGGTTTGGTTCGCATTGTCCTTTTGGGTCCTAATTCTGCTAGTTTGCTCAATTTGGATGCGAGAAAGGAGTGCCGGCCTTTACTGCACTCCGTGTTTTGGACAACAACCTACAGAATGCTTAGAGGAATTTGCCCCCCTCGTTGGAAGACGTGTTTGTCAGCACCTATTGATTATCTTGATGCTTACTGATTCTTACTGTGAATGCCAAACTGAACATGGCGCTGAGGTGGCATTACAGCTTTGGATTTGGCAGTGGCCAAAGGCTTCGAGGAGGGTGGTGAGGTCTGGTTTGCACAGAGGTTCTTTTTGGCACTGTGGAAGATTCACAGATGGACATCAACAACATTCAACAACATTCAACAACTGTGAACACCCACCAACAACCAATAACAACCAATAACAACGAATAACAACGAATAACAACCAATAACAACCAATAACAACGAATAACAAAGAATAACAACCAATAACAACCAATAACAACCAATAACAACCAGTAACAACCAATAACAACCAATAACAACCAATAACAACCAATAACAACCAGTAACAACCAATAACAACCAATAACAACCAATAACAACCAATAACAACGAATAACAACGAAGAACAACGAACAACAACCAATAACAACCAATAACAACCAATAACAACCAATAACAACCAATAACAACCAATAACAACCAGTAACAACCAGTAACAACCAATAACAACCAATAACAACCAATAACAACCAATAACAACCAATAACAACCAATAACAACCAATAACAACCAATAACAACCAATAACAACCAATAACAACCAATAACAACCAATAAAAACCAATAACAACCAATAACAACCAGTAACAACCAATAACAACTAATAACAACCAGTAACAACCAATAACAACGGATAACAACCAATAACAACCAATAACAACGAATAACAACGAATAACAACGAATAACAACGAACAACAACCAATAACAACGAATAACAAAGAATAACAACCAATAACAGAATAGCAACCAATAACAACCAATAGCAACCAATAACAACCAATAACAACCAATAACAACCAATAACACCCAATAACAACCAGTAACAACCAATAACAACTAATAACAACCAGTAACAACCAATAACAGCGAATAACAATCAGTAACAACCAATAACAACCAACAACAACCAGTAACAACCAATAACAACGGATAACAACCAGTAACAACCAATAACAACCAATAACAACGAATAACAACGAATAACAACGAATAACAACCAATAACAACCAATAACAACGAATAACAAAGAATAACAACCAATAACAACCAATAACAACCAATAACAACCAGTAACAACCAATAACAACCAATAACAACCAATAACACCCAATAACAACCAATAGCAACCAATAGCAACCAATAACCTTAATTTCAACGACCACTTTGCAGATGTCCCTATGCCAGCCCTCTGTGCTTTCCAGAACCTGTAAAGGTCCTGTTGCAGAGGGAAGCTCCTTTGCGGCATTTCCGAAACGAGACTCTGCTAGAGGCAGCCGACGCGACCGTGCCATGTAGATCCGTTTGCTTGATCTTTGGGACAGTCCTGTCACTGAGAGATACAACATCATACAACGGCATACAACCCTGACATTGTCGGACATTTATAGATTGTCATCAATCGTCATCGGTCTACTTGTGGGAGGCAGTTGAAAGGGGCAACGTTCTCCTACTGCGGGCTTTGTTAGTGCAGATGCGTATGGAGCTCAGCAATTGGATGCATTTCACTTTGGTTCATTTTGTATATCCAAAGTTTGGATATCCCTGACTCGACGCTTACGTGTCACTTTCACCCTGTCAGCCTTTCCGAACTGTGTCCATTCTTTGTCAGATTATTTGGCAACAATCGAACCAGAACAATATATATATATATAATTATACATATATATATATTCAAATTCAACCGATTGAAAAATTCAACCGATTGAAGCGCTCAAGGCATCTTCTCTCACACGGCCTTCCTGATGGAATCCGCTGCCAAGGCTTTGTACATCTTTGGGAAGCCTAGTTAACTAGTTTGTACATCTTCTCATGACTTGAACGACTAGTGTAACTAGCGGTTCATTTGCTCTTGGGCCTAGCAATGCAGTTCACCTAGACTTCACACACACACACAACACCACATATATCAACACACGGCAATGTATTGATGTATTGTATTGACATATATTGAATACACATAAGCGCCGCCGTATCTACTGTACGTTCCAAGATCTCAGCTTTTCCATGTCGTAGAGCTTGCGGGCCGTGTTTGTAGTTCAAACATCCTTCACATTCGATTCTGTTGTATAATCTGTATAATAGACAGCAATCCGAAGGTTTGGGCAAACAATGAAAAGGCCACACCATGCTTTAAGAATCTTTAAGACTTCTCGGCTTGGCATTGGCTCTCTTTTGATCAAGGCTTGAGGCTGGAATATGTTGGACTAAGCACCTTCAGGCATTGACTCCTCGTGGAGCAGACGGAAATACGCCTGGGAACAGAAGGAACTCAAATCATCAAAGTTCATCAAAGATGCTCCTCGTGGAGCCACTCCATGTTTTGCCCCTCAGCGGCTTTTCCAAGGCCACTACACCTGGCGTGTGCCTTCCCAGACCGAGAGGCTCCAGTTTTTTTTCGCTCTTCACCAGACTAGGATTTTGCAAAACATGAATTAAGGGATAGACTGATGATCGACGAATGGAAACTTGTAGCTGTGCTTGGAGATTCAACATATCATGCATACAAGTAGAATTGATGCAACTTTTCAAAGGAAGGATGCTTCAACAGAAAACGCTGGCATTCCTGAGCACGAGGCATTAGTGACTGTTTTGGTCAAGCACAGCGCAGACTTGCAGCCCTGCCTCGCTTGCATCCGTTGCTCTAGATGACCGTATACAGCATGGTACAGCATGGTACAGCATGGTACAGCATGGTACAGCATGGTACAGCATGGTACAGCCAGAAATCAAGAACGCGTTGCAGCAAAACAGGAATCTGGAGAATGATGATGGCATGACGCCCCTGGACACCGAAATTGCAAGTCATGTGACAGTTCACCTCAAATGATTTCCACAAATACATTTGATTACATTTGTGTATGCAGTACTATTATATATATATCTATAACATTCATTATATTTATACGACATATACATACATTATTGTCATTATTGTTGTTAGTACTGTTATCACTACTATTAGTTTTCATCTATGTATGTATCTTTTTACTTGTTGGTTTGTTCATTTATTTGATTTCATTCATTTTATTTATTCATTTGTGGATGATTATTGGTATTGCCATGTTAATTATATAACTAGTATTACAGTACTTATTGTTGCAGTGATTACTATGATCATTATATTAATCATTATATATTATAGTATATTGTAGTCATTGAGTCATTCTTTTTATTATGGTTTGATTCATCTTGTTGGCGAGTCGTTTGGCCTCGGTTTTTCTGCGCATCTCACGAATGAACTTGCCCTCTCCGTGGCTTTGCGAAGGACTGCTGCGTTGCGACATCAAATGTCACAGCGTGGCGCGTGCTGAAAAATATCAGTGGGGGCCAAGCGAAACACAAGAAGTACGAGGCAAGCTTGCAGGGATGGCAGAGAAATTCAAGGATCTCAGGTATGGCATTTTCAGCAAAGACAAGAAAGGCGCAAGGAAGGCTATGCCACGCTGCTGCGAAACTGGCGTTCTGTCAACTTGTCCTGATTGGATGTTGATTTCAACAAGACCAGCTTTATGAGTTACTCTCGCTCCAAGTGACATACTGAGAGATGCCATTATTGCTGTCGCAGGATTTGCTATCTCATCTCTGGGTTGAGAATGTTGAGAAAATGATATGCTGTTCCTCATTATAACATCATTTCCCAGTGGTAAATTCAGAGTGACCGTGCAATGTGGGATCACAGGAATAGCAGTACTAGGACCTTTATGAAGGGCCACATACTGTCACACATCCCAGATTTTTTCTGAGACAGGCCGAGTACCGTTCCTTACGGTCTGCAATTTCTTCCAACTGCCTCTTCTTGATCCGGAATGTGCACTTGCGGCAGGTTGGGCAGAACAGATCACTGACTGATGTGTAGTGCACGTTGAGCAGCGGAGTGGATTCTCCACGTGCCATGGAGTTTTTTCTAGCCACAACCTGCTAACCATCCATTTCTGGCTTTATGAGGGACAGGATGTTCAGTGGTACACTATCCCTATAGTACCTATAGGAAAGGTTTTGAAAGAGTCAAAGCTAACTTGATTGTGTGATTGTTAAAGATTGCTGGAGCCATCTGTTGTCATCTTCAGGAAGATGATGTGAAAAAGAGCAAGGTTGACCTGGGGGAAATGCTCCATCTTGCAGTCAGTTCGTCATGCCCTGAGTAGAGTCCAGGCCAGAAACCAGACGTGACTTGAGACGGTAGAGACGTGAGATTTTTTGGCGATACTGAGGGCTGGGGTTGGAGAAGACATTGTGCACTATTTGGTCGATCAGGCTAACGGCATCAGCCATGGCGGGCCATTTCGAGTGAATGCAAGTAACCTGCTGAAATGCCTGTTGTGCAGCTGATGGATCTGCAAGTAATGCTGAGCAATCCCTTGGCAGGGGGCCGATGTCAACTCTATCAGAGAGCCGCCCTCGGACTTCTGGAATTGATTCGGAAATGATGCCAAAATTTGGATATTGTTGCTGCTTTTGAATCTTATAAGGATGGCTTCAGCGTGCTGGATGCGTGTTTGGCACGGAATGGTGTCAGCGAAAGCGTGCTGGGGAAGCATGCAAAGCTGTGCAAGTACCAGGACAAACAAATGTTGCTGTAAGGATGTCCAATGTGGCTTTGGATGTGAGGTTGCTGCAGAGACAAGCTTCAAGAACTCTTGACTTTTGTGACTTTTGTCCCACCCTGACGCTTTTTTCATGGCAGGACTATTCTTTGTGCACTGCTGCAAAGGAAGGCTTGTGATGGTCTCAGCTTGGATCGTGCGGCGCAACTCCGACGATGTGCGGCTTCGAATTCAGCTGAGGGCTGGTCTGGCTCGGTACTTGGCAAACACTGCTAGAAAGGGCAGCAAAGATGGTACAGGCCTTAGCTGCAGGGTGAAGCTGGCAGAAAGATGAGTACATCTCAAGCACATCGAAAGAAATTGTCTGTTTTCTTGTTCACAATTTGAACAGGCACGAGACAAAGAGATGGTGGATTTTTGCCACTACATCTTGCCGCAAGCCGTGGACATGCAGACACTGTCAAGGCAGAACCCCTGGTGATGCGATGTTAAGTCCATCAACAAATTTCATCAACAAATTCATCCGCTGGGAGATCTTCAACAGTTCGTGCATTTGAAGTCTGGATTCCTTTCTTCCAAGGTGTTGTTGAAGGCAAATAGCAACGTGCACGAGCAGACTGACGGTGGCTTCACCGCTCTTGATTTGGCCTGAAGCTTTGATTAGCGTAGCTTCGTCAATGATTTCCAAAACAATGAGAGAAAAATCAGAAGGAGCCCTCACCACTCAGATCAAGCTTGCGTTTAGATTCGATCAATTTGAAGGGTGTCTGAAAATGGGGCCGTATGCCCCCAAATGGCATCTTGAATGAGATGATAGAATGATAAACCATGATAAACCATCAATTTGGGTTTCTTGACCTGGACATGAGCAGGCACTGAAAAACAGACAGCACCAGAGGAAGTATCGAAACATAAAACTCTCGAGGCGCACTAGGAGACACCAAGACACCCGAGGAGACCAGCTCCCACCATCGAAGCTCCACAAAGAGCTTTGCGGGACAGCAAAGCATAGCAGAGAAACATGTAAGAAGATGTAAGAAGTAACATTGAGAAACATTGAGAAACATTGAGAGACATTGAGAAACATTGAGAACCATTGAGAAGCATTGAGAAACATTGAGAAACATTGAGAAACATTGAGAAACATTGAGAAACGTTGATGCAAAAGCCAAATTCAAGCCTAGTGGATCTAGTGGCACTTCAATTACTTTGGAACTGAGCTTCTACTTCAGTCGGAACTGCTCGCATTTGTGAGCGCCAAGCAGCCCTCATAGATCTCTGCTGCTTACGCCATTCTGAAGCCATTTGCCATGACTTGGCCATGATTTGCCATGAACTTTTCCCACGCCTTTTCGGGGAAGCAAGCTCAGAATCTGCATCACCCTAAGCCTTTCGACATCTTTCGACTTTAGGCTTGCGAAAGCCTCGCAAAAGCCAGTCCTGGGTCAGAGGCCGCAAGCTGCTTCCAAGAGGAAACTGGACCGCTACAACTTGATACAACTCGACAACTCTTTTAGACATGGACTTGGAGAGTTGGCTATGTTGGCTTGGGCGTCCAAATTTACTGGCTTCAATGAACACGTGCAAATCTTGCAAGTCTTTGTCTTTGGGCTTTGTAGCGTGTGTAGCGTGAGTAATCATTTTCTTTCTTTTCACTTTTCTCGGGCTTTGCCTATGGCACCTATGGTACTCGTACAGTATGCATTGATGTATGCACTCGTTTGAGACAGAATTTCCAGTGAGTCAAGTCCAGGTGTATTCCAGACTTTGCCGCACTATCGACATCCTGCTGTCCAGGAATTGCAAGCTCAAGGAGAAGCTGCTTTTTTGTTTACATTTTGTCCACTTAAAGCAATATAAGCAAGTCGCGCTTAAGTCATAGCAAGTCGTTTGAGTCTTTTGCCTTGGTTGAGAAAAGGATCACAATTCTTGGATACTTTTGGTGACTTTTGGCCTGAAGGAATTTAGAGGAGAGCAAGAGCTCGACAAAGCCAGACAGCACATTCAAAAGGCAAGCCATGTCACAGGAAATGGCATGGTGTGCGTCCTTTGAGGCATCAGAAAGGGATGAATCAAAGACTTCAGTCAAAATTTAGCCTTCAGGCGGGTGCCAAAGAAGGTGGCGACAAGGCAAGGTCTCAGGAAGTGACATGAAGTGACATGAAGTGACCATGTTGATGTTTTGAAATGGTTTGTCATGTTTTGTGATCTGTCTGCGTGTCCAAGGAAGAACCGAGCAAAGCAGATGTGCGGAAAGTGGCCAAGAAGAGGCAGGTGGATATCAATTGACTCGGACGGACACTCGCAGCAAATTGCGAGGATGACACGCCGGACACGCCGGACACGGGATGGTACGGGATGGCATGGAACAGCATGAAATGACTCTGGAGACACGGGCTGTGCAAAGTTTCACGGACAAAGGCGTGACGAGCAAGACGAGCCCCTGAAGACAGTTGATAGGGAGGTGCACTGACAGCAAGACAGCAAGCTTTTGCATAGGCTGTGCAACTTGTTGTTCTGGTGTGGATTTCGATGGTATGCAATTTCGTAGGCTTTGGCTTGTACAGTGATCACAGTGATTTCTAAATTGTTTAACCTCAAATTGTCTAAGCCACCCGTTTTCAGTTGTGGATGCTGTGGCTTCCTGGATCTTCTTGCTGTAGATACATGTGGTTATCGAGGGGAACACACAGTAGTTTTAAGATGTTTTAAGTGCTGCATGAGTTGTTCAGAGCTTGGCACCACAAAGGGATGTCTCTCTGGCACGCTCTCCATGCTCTCCATGGGTTTTGGATTCGACTTCATCTTGAGAGTGCTGACTGTCCTGTCCTTGCTTTGCATTGCTTCGCTGATCTCAGAGTTTGAAATGAGCATATGATCTGCGTTCGCGATCGTTTGAGTGTGTTGTGCAGTTGTGCGTGTTTGTTGGTTGTGCACGCGCGCACCTCCGATGAAATTTGAACGAGAAATGGATGGAGCAGAGAGCCTTGTTTGTTGAGCAGCCAGTGAACACCTAGCTCGCGTTGTGGGAAATTCGGGCGAACTGACGTGCTGTCCCACAGTTCTGTTGGGAGAATCGGTCTTGTGCGCAGATTGAAACAATTTGAAACAAATGGAATGGACATGATCTCTTGGACAGCAGCCTGTGAAAGTTCGCTGTGCAGGTAAAAGCCAAAGTCGCAGAAGAGGAAAAAAAGACCGAAAGCTACAAGGTCCGTCTATAGAGTCTATACCCTTACCCTTGGACAAGAGTGGATGTGTTTCCAACATGCACTTCCAAATACCTCAAGCCTTGTTCATCCGATCTCAAGATCTAGCTCTGTTGTGAGCAGGTAAACTCTTGTTTCCCGCGCTTGCGAAAGCAGAGCCAGTCACAGGAAGCAGAGAAATTGGCAAAAAAAGTAGCAGAAAGTTGTGAAGTGCTTCAAGCGAGCTGGAGAGGCCCAGACCGACCACTGTCTGGAATATAGTTTGCAGATTGTTTGCAGGATTTGTGTGCACATGTCCTAAACGCAGACATGGCACACACACACACATTTTGCACATTTTGCACTTGTATTTGATGAGCGTTGGTCACAACGTAGCTGCGGAAATCATAAAGTCGTGCTTTTGCATTGTATCTCCACTGCTTGGGGACTGGAGGAGTGGAGGCCAGAAGGGTCCATGCAATTGTTTTGCAATTGTTTTTGTCTGTTCACAATAGTTCAATCATGTTCAATCTGCCGGTTTGCCATTTGATTATATATGATTATATATGATTATATGATATTTGAATATATTTGATTGGATTCTGCCAATTTTCTTGGCCTGTTCTCGTACTGTACCGTGCTTCACATCCTCAACATTCCTCAACCATGTTCACAGTTAACAGTTATGCAGTTATGCAGTTATGCATTTTCATCGCTGATTCAAAATACCTCCCATCCAACAACCTAGGCATCGCTGATCTTAGCTGACCATAGCTGACCAACATCATAAGCCGAAGAGTCAATTCAAATTTCGCGAGTTGTTAGTGCTTGTTACTCGACTTGTGCAAAGAACATCAAAGATCCACCTGCAAAACCAAACTAGCATGTAGTAGTGCTATGTAGTGCTCGTATGTAGTGGGAATGGAATGATTGCTGCATCAATTGTAAAGATTGATGAAGATATCTTCTCAGGCAGAAAACCCATTCTAGCGCATTTCACAATCCCTTACTAATGTGCGGAGCTGCCCCTTCGCTGCTTCTAGCATCAATTAACGTCTTGTAGTTTGCAGTTTGTGTGACCAGATGTCGACCCATCCGTATACACCATGTGGGAACCAGGGGGAATTTACGCCATGCCACAGCTGGAGTGTAGATGATTCTCACACACCATGAAGCATTTGCAGCACACACGCACACACAAACGAACAGACGTCCAGCCACTCCACAAACCACCCAGTTTTTGTCAGGGTCTTTATGGTTTCTTGAGCTGCAACTTGCGGTCGAAAGGCATCTTTTTTGAGTAACGCAGGGGTCCGGGTCTATGGCATACCAGTCCCTGCTCCACTTTGCTTCGTTTAGACTATGGACTTACTCAACCGCATGGTTCAACCATGACGTACTTTCAGACCTTCATTGCTTTATTCACGCTGTTGCAAGTCTTACAATTCTTGAAAGGTGACGGAGAGAAGCTGCCAGAGTACCTCTCCAGCAAGTGCCCTTGGTGACTCATTGATGACTCATTGATGACTCATTGCGCTGCACTGTGTCTGCTCCCTTTGAATTAACCAAGCTACTGAACAGTACGCCACCATGAGCCAGTTTGCTTTCGATGATTTGGACCTGCCAGATACTACCAGATCCGCATTGATGTGCTTCGCCGGAAGATCCAGGAAAACCTGCTGGGGTGAAGCCCATTGTACTGCACGTCAAAACAAATCTGTAACATCAAATCAGATTCCTTCGATTTCCTTTGCAAGGAGAAAGATCAGCACATCGAGGATGCCTTGAAGAAGATGGACTTCGCGGAAGAGGAGCCTGAGATCTCGCAACGTCGCAGAATTCTTCTTCTGTGAAGCCTGCATTAAGCCTGGCCTCACATTGAAAGGACTACCTCTGGCTCCTCAGAAAGAAAATGCGAGATTTGAGGCGCCTAAGGGAAGCAAGAAGCACTTATTCAGTCCTGACTGCATACTGTGCTTCACTAGAGCAACTCCGAGGTACGCTGACAATTCTCAAGTCCGTCTTGCGCTGCTTACGGTTGCTTTCGGCTCTTGTGTACAGGCTTAAATATCATCCCGACAAAATCAATGACCGTCAGCCCACAGAGGAGGACATTGCTCAGCTTCTGGAAGAGCCCACGCCTAGTATATCTAGTCCGGAGACTGGCAGCTGGGGCTTTCCTTCTTGTTGGCCAGCGGTCTGTGCAAAGAGAACCCAACAACTCAATAAACTAATACCAGCAACAGGAAACTACAAGCAGGATTTTGAAATGTGAGGGTCTATGTTGATGTCGCGTTTTTGATGACGTGGAGATCACCTTAATATCCTTCCACGGCAATGCCGTAGAGCTGGGACTTGATTGTGTCAAACTCTTGCGAAACCCAGTTCCAGAGCTTTCACCAGGACTACAAGTTCTACGAACGTGTCACAAAAGCATATGACGTTTTGTCTACGAAGGAGGCGAACCTGACATGACCTGTGTCGCTGCCCACGGATGGATCCAGGTTTCCTTAGTTTCCTCAGTTTCCTACTCCATTGGATTTTTCTTTGCAGTCATCTACACACTGGCGAAGATAGGTCTAAGGACACTCTCCCATCAGCCCCAGTGCTTGGACCAACTGTAGTGTGGTGCACTGTAAAGTAGTGTAGTTGTAGTTGTAGTGTAAGTGTAATTAGTGTATATAGTGTCTTGTAGTGTAGCCCAGCGTAGCGTAGCGTAGTGTAGTGTAGTTAGATGTAATGAGATGTAATTAGATGTAACTAGATGGAATTAGATGTAAATAGATGTAACTAGGTGTAACATGGTGTAACTAGATGTAGTTAGGGGTATAATTAGATGTAATTTAGTGTAGTGCAGTGTAATTAGTGTAGTGGAATGTATCGTAATATATTTGTATTTGTTGTTGTAGTAGTGGTGTAGTGTAGTGTAGTGTAGTGGTAGTTGTAGTTGTAGTTGTAGTTGTAGTCGTCTATCTGTCTATCTACCTACCTATCTATCTATCCATCCATCCATCCATCTATGTATCTAACTAATCTAACCTACCCTAATCTAATCTAATCTAATCTTATCTATCTTATCTGTCTTATCTATCATATTTATCTTTTCTATCTTATCTATCTTATCTATCTTATCTATCTTATCTATCTTATCTATCTTATCTATTTAATCTATCTAATCTATCTAATCTATCTAATCTATCTGATCTATCTAACCTATCTAGCCTATCTAACCTATCTAACCTATCTAACCTATCTATGTAATCTATCCAATCCATCTAATCTATCTAATCTATCTGATCTATCTAATCTATCTAATCTATCTAATCTATCTAACCTATCTAATCTATCTAATCTATCTAATTTATCTAATCTATCTAATCCATCTAATCCATCTAATCGATCTAATCGACCTAATCGATCTAATCGATCTAATCGATCTAATCGATCTAATCGATCTAATCGATCTAATCGATCTAATCGATCTAATCGATCTAATCTATCTAATCTATCTAATCTATCTGATCTATCTAATCTATCTAATCTATCTAATCTATCTAACCCATCTAATTCATCTAATCCATCTAATCTATCTAATCTATCTAATCTATCTAATCTATCTAGTCTATCTAATCTATCTAGTCTATCTAGTCTATCTAATCTATCTAATCTATCTAATCTATCTAATCTATCTAATCTATCTAATCTATCTAATCTATCTAATCTATCTAATCTATCTAATCTATCTAATCTATCTAATCTATCTAATCTATCTAATCTATCTAATCTATCTATTCTATCTAATCTATCTAATCTATCTAATCTATCTAATCTATCTAATCTATCTAATCTATCTAATCTATCTATCTATCTATCTATCTATCTATCTATCTATCTATCTATCTGATCTATCTGATCTATCTATCTATCTATCTATCTATCTATGCGAATAGGATGTAGGCTACGGCACAGTACATAATCCCACAAAGACATCCTACTATCGTCCATAACCAAAGGTGTGCATAAAATGCCCCTTTGGCTCAAGATTACTGCAGAAGCCAAGAGTGAGAAACAACGCCATGCCGAAGCTGCAACCCTTGCGACGTCATCGTTGAGAACTTTAACCTCAAGACAAAGCGACAACTATACATAATCGGGGAGACAACCTCCGATTCACAGGTTATCAGCCGCATGGCTCTGAGACCATGCTGGTAGGTGGTTAAAAAGCATCCAAAAGGTGCAATACAAACGTGGCAGCCTGCCCTGCTCCAAAAAAAAGGGGTAAACGGAGGAGGCCGCGCCACCTAGGGCATTCCTTGCAAAAGCAGGGGGGCCAGCTGCTGCATGGCGCCTAACACGAGGGTCAGGTGGCTCACACCCTCGGGCCATGCTGTTGCGCTCCAGGTTTCGGAAGAGGGGGGTGTAGGATCTCTTCAGTGAATCGGTGATTCCATGTGTCTTCCTCTACCCGGTGCATGTTGTGTATCAGCTGGTAGCCCTTAAGGCCAGCGCGTCATTCCACTAGAGGCGGTTCTTTATAACCGTGCTCAGTGGTATGGGTGGGCACAATGTTCATGCCAAAAGGTGGTGAACGTGCGTAACTACAGGTTATCAGCCGTAGGACTCCTACGGAGCCTACGAGCGGGTAGCCGCGGACCTTACAGATGACTGAACAGGATAGCAGTGATAACGCATTTTCTTTCTCTGGACATGCCGTTGCACCAGCT